CTTCTCAGTTGCCGTTTCTTCTCTCTTGGCCAAAACCATCACAGTGGTGCTGGCCTTCCTGATCACAAAACCAGGAAACCGAGTGAAGAGATGGTTGGGGAAGAGCTTGGCCAACTCCACTATTCTTTCTTGTTCTGCTGCCCAAATTATCATCTGCTCCATCTGGCTGGGAGTTTCTGCCCCCTTCCCTGACTCTGACCTCCACTCCCAGCCTGGAGAGATCATCCTGCAATGCAACGAAGGGGCTGTTGTCATGTTTTATGTCACCCTCAGCTACATGGGCTTCCTGGCTGCCATCTGCTTCATGGTGGCTTTCCTGGCCAGGAATCTGCCTGGGGCCTTCAACGAAGCCAAGCTGATCACTTTCAGCATGCTGGTCTTCTGCAGTGTTTGGGTGACTTTTGTGCCCACCTATCTGAGCACCAAAGGGAAATACATGGTGGCTGTGCAGGTCTTCTCCATCTTGGCCTCCAGTGCTGGTCTGCTGGGCTGCATCTTCATCCCCAAGTGCTACATTATCCTTCTGAGGCCAGACCTGAACACAAAGGAGCAGCTTACAACCAGAAGAAATCTGGAAATGTGAAACTGAGGAATTTCAACATTTAAACTTTTCAAAACTTAGAAAATGGTCCAAATTGTTCTCCATACATGAGTTGGGCCAATGATTTTGCTTGAAATAATTAACAGATTGCTGAAAGATAGTGTCCCATGTCCTTGTCCAGTAGAATTGCAAGATGGCCACTGAGTTCTTTTGAGCAGTCAAGGCATCATATCTGTCCTTTACTCTTAGCCTACCTGAAGCCTGAAATTCCCCACCCAGTTATTTGAAACATGACACCTGTGCAGTCTTGTGGATATGCTAGAGATAATTGGGAGGGGTGTATCCAAAAATGCCATTATTTTGGTTTATCTGTAATTGGAATTCTTTGCAGTTTTAGACTCAACATTGCAGCAGAAGCAGCATATGGAGAGTAGAGAGATCCCTCCTAGCTAAATTAGGAAGAAGATATTCTGAATTATTCTGCTAAACAAAACAGGAACTTAAATATAGCCTCACAAGATTTCTAGAAAATATTTCCCATCAAATGGAATGACTGAGTGTCCCATGGATGTGGTGTGAGGGAGAGACTGGGCATAAACACCTAGTCAAAAGTTTCAATAATTCATACATCTCAATCTTCGGGTGATCATTGAGAGTTGAAGATGGGTCCTGGCATGATCCAGAAGTCCTTACCTTCTTAAAAAGGATGTTTTCAAAGACATCCTATTCACAAAAGGAAGTCAACTGAAATCATGACATTTATTCTAAAATTAGCAGAAATATGTGTAGTTGGTTGTATGTTTAACTGATGATGTTACCTTGTTTGGTAATGAAATTTCTGCAAATAAACCACCAAGCTCAGACAACACCAGAGATCGCAATATGTCTTCCTTCTTGGCCGCATCATGGCTTTATCTTCCTAGCATCCAAGAGGTTCTCAGCCTTCCTCATTCCCCTCTTCAGCCTGGATGAATATACAGCATTTAAATGTCACAGTCCACAGCCTGCAATTAATGGGGTGATCAATCCTGGTCATCCTTCTCTGACCATCTTGTCCAGCCTTCCACTGAAAATTGATGTTTGGAATAAGAAAAAAAAAATGTTTTCTCTGCAAATTCTATAATAGAAGAGTAAAGGTTACTACGTTTTATTTTTCCAAAGCAGAACTGGGCTGAAAGAAAAATAAAAAGATGACATTAACAGTATGCAATAAAGTGACTCATTTTGTTTCAGAGCAAAACAAGTGTACAATTAGTAAAAAGATGGGGGTTGTTATGAAGAAACAAATGATTTCTCCTCTTGCAGATAGAAACCTGGGCCCAGGGAGTCCTAAGCTCCTCTTTTGACATTGGGCAGGAGCTGGAGATCCTGATTGAACTCTTGGATTGAAAAAGGAAGGAGAGGACTTTGCAGTACCAGATGGGTGCTTTCCTAGTAAAACCTAATACAAAGTGATCAGAAGACAGAAAATAAATTAGTAAAATAAAATAAAATAAAATAAAGCTTAAAGTGCAACAAAGAAATAAAATAGGAGGGTTTTAAAAAACCAGATTGGGGGGGTCTGCTCACAGCCAATCAGACAATAGTCGCATCTTTAATCTATCCTATCCAATCACCAAAACCATAAATCGCAACTTCACATTATTCTTTTTTTGCCAAATTTCCATGGGTTCTAGTTACCAATAAATATAGATGTTGTCTTTTCTGTAATCAAAGAAGTCAGTTTGTTCTTTTCAGCAAGTTCTGTTAATTTCATCGGCCATTCATCTGTGGTGGACAGTGCCAAATCTTTCCATCATTGTGCATATGGTAATCTCACCATAATATTATTTCACATGTTGAAATAATCTTCCATGGCAGCTTTTTTTTTAACTGTTTATCCATCAGTCCTAAAAGGAATGCTCTGGCTTCAGTTGAATTTCCTAACAATGAGGACAATTAACCAGTGGAACAGCCTGCCTCCAGAAATCGTGGGTGCTGCATCACTGGAGGTGTTTAAAAGGAGTCTAGACAGTCACCTGCCTGAGATTGTATAGGTTCTCCTGCTTGAGCAGGAGGCTGGACTAGAAGACCTCCAAGGTCCCTTCCAGGTCATTCTATTCTATTCTATTCTATTCTATTCTATTCTATTCTATTCTAATTCGATTCAATTCTAACCTTAACTTTAAGGCGGGCGGACTTCAACTCCCAGAACTCATCAGTCAGCAGGCGCATTCTGGGAGTTGAAGTCCACCTGCCTTAAAGTCCCCGAGGTTGAGAAACCTTGCTCTAGAATAGACCCATAATTACTTTGCAAGCTTTAGCTGTCGCTCTCACTGCCCGTTAGGAGCAGCCTACAGCCCAGCCTTTAAATCCTAGCTAGCTTCCACAGGCAATACTAAGGACAGCTAAAAAGTGGTCAAGACCCATCGTCCTCCATTTTGTGGCTCTTTCCTGAGGTAATTTTTTTTTCTCCCTCCATTTCAAGGGGGGGGAAAAGCTGCAGGGAGATTTTTTCTCTCTCTTCAGCCTGCAGTCAGGGAAGATTTCCCCAAAGGGGGAAGAGGTTGAGGGAGGCAGAAAGGGCAGGGAGAAAGCCCCTCCCGGTTATTTTGGGATAGTTCCAGAGACTCCCAGGGCTGGTGGGGGGGTCCCCCAGAGGTCATCTAGTCCGACCCCTGACCAAGCAGGAGCCCCTCTGCCCTCCTGGCATGAAACTTTCTCCTATCACAGCTTGGGTGCCGTTTAAGGGACGTTCTGTGTGCTCAGTTCTAACGGCAGCCTGGGAGGGCCTTCCTTACATCTTCTTTTCCCCCTCCTTTTAATACAACAGGCTCCCGGGGGTCTCTTTTTCTTTTTAGTTCGCCACCCCTCCTATTCAAAAGGGGCCGTGAGGGGGGGGCGGGGGCACCCCTAGCATCTCTCCACAGCTGCATCAAAGGTGGTGACTGTGCAATGTCGCCCCTCAGGGTCTTTTCCAGGGGAGGACTTCCCCCTAGGAGCCCCCTCTTTGTGGAAGGCGATGAGCATCCTGGTGAGGAAACTCCTCTGAAAAGGTGACCCTGTGGGTCACAGATCAACCGTTAGAGCAGAGGCCTTCAAACTTGGCCGCCTTTAAGACTTGTGGACTTCAACTCCCAGAATCCCCCAGCCAGCAACGCTGGCTGGGGGATTCTGGGAGTTGAAGTCCACAAGTCTTAAAGGCGGCCAAGTTTGAAGGCCTCTGCATTAGAGATTTAAAATTAAGCTTATCAACAGCAGAGGTCCAAGTCCACCTTCCTTGCCCCCCCCCATGGCCCTTTGCCTTTTTTGGGGGGGGGGACAATCACGACTAGGGAAAGCCCTGAGATGTCCTCACCCACCCCGTGTTTTCTATTTAAAAAAAATTCCCTGCAGGCCATAGAAGCCTCCATGAAAATGAAGGTGACAGAGGTGGTTTGGCGGCACCTCGAGTTTTGATTACGTTTTTTAATTTATTTAATTTATTTAATTTTAATTTATAAAAACCAAGTTTTTAATATCCAAATCGGCAGGCACCTTTGGTGGATGTCTGTAAAACTCTGGTTGCCAAGGCCCGTCTTAAAGGCAGGTAAATTGTAGGATGAGTGTAGAGACAACTAAAGAGAGCTCGGCTATAGATTGACCTCTCTTCTGATAAATTTTTTTTGGGGGGGGGGGAGAGAGCTGGGAATAGGAGTTGATTTTATTATAAATTATAATTTATAATTTTAATTATTTTAAATTTTGTCTGTCTTTGTGTTTTTAATTAGGCTGTACACCGCCCTGAGTCCTTTGGGAGAAGGGCGGTATAGAAATAAAATAAATAATAAATATATATTAATTAATTAATTAATATGCTGCCCCTCTCCACAAACTCAGGGCGGCTCACAATACATTTTTTTTAAAAAAAAAACCCATTCTAAAAACATTTAAAAGCCATATTAAAACACAGATAAATTACAAAATTTAAAAAACCATTAAAATCAAATATACAAAAATTTGGCCCACAAATTAAAACTAACACACACCCATTTAAAATTCATACATTTAGAACATTATATGCTGTTCTGGATATTGTCTCCCAAAACCTATATTCTGATTTTCCAAATAAAATGTTAATGCTATTACTAGCATTATTACTATTACTAATAATAGCTATTACTACCTATTATTATTCTAGCTGCCAATCATCACTATTTGGCAGGTAACTTCCTGAGATGATTAAATCCCCGTGAAAAATCTCAGAAAAGAGATAGAAAATATTTGTTCATGGGTCATACTAAATGCTATTAATCTTAATCGATGTGAGTAAAGTATGTTTGTCTTTTTAAAATAATTTATGTTTTCAATGTTGCAGGAAGAACAATCTCGACTTCCTGCAATAACATCTATAAAACAACAATGGAGATGCATTGAGAAATATAATGTTTAGTTGTAGTCAGTATACAAGACATTAACAATGACATTAACACTTGGAACATTGCATCCAGCTTTAGTGTTTTTAATCACTGTCAGTAAGTTTGTGTTTTTAAAATATGGTATTTTGTCAGTGTTGCAGGAAGAACAATCGAGACTTTCTCCTATGACATCTACAAAAGAAGAATGGAGACATATAATATATAGTTGTAGTCAGTATATAAGACATTAACATGAAGATAAATACAACTCCTTTTGGTTAGGTTATCTTTATTTCCAGGGGTGGGCTTCAAAAATCTTTAGCAAGGGGTTCTCAGCAAGTTGCTGGGTGGGCGTGGCAGCCCACCCCTGTTTATTTCTTTGCAAATTAAATTAGAGACCATCCTTAAGATTCTAAAATGGAAAATACATTTTTAAAAGAGACGTGTTGCACCTTCCCCAATATTTTTGTTATTTATCATTGCTAAGGCATGTACCAGTTGGGCATCCTCTTTTGTATAGGCATCTGCCTCAGCTTTTTTGGAGAGAATAACAAAGTCATGTGGTTGCTAGCACTCATTCTGAGAGTTGTTGGAGCCACTAACGACCACATGACTACAAGGAATATATATTTTTCCATCCTCCTCCTACTCAGTCAGAACTGAAGAAGCTTCTTGAGACGTGAAATGTCTTCATGGAAAAAACAAAGTCCAGTTATCTTTTGAAAAAGCACCTTTGGGATAACCATGACCTGGATGACTGAGAATCTCCATAGACAATAAATTTTATTACTAGTGTTAAGAAAATAATGATTCAGTCAATGATCTTTTGTTTTTTTCCTTCAATCCCCAGGAAAAGGTGCCTCAGGGTGTCACTGGAGCAGCCATTTATTTTTTACAACATCAGCCAGTCAGGATGTTGAGGAGGCACCCATCTCTGCTGCAAACAAACTACCATTAACAACATGTTAACCAGCATGGATGAGTCAAAAAGGATGTTGGACATCCTTCTTTGCTCAACAATGTGATGGTTGGTAAGTGTTTGAATTAATTAGGTTGCCAGTTTTTCTTTATTTTTCCATTATAAAGATTTATTATTATTGTTGTTGTTGTTGTTGTTGTTTAATTTTTAGGTGGGGTCCTTATAGAAAAACCAGGTGGCCACAATCGGGACAACTTGGAGGCTACAAGAAGTGAGTGGACCAAGGACTTGTCCAAAAGAAACTAGTCCTAGTTGAAAGGAGAGGAATTGGGTTCTCTTGAGGTTACCTGGTATCTTTTGCTGGTTTGCATTTCTTGCTTTGGGTTTTTGGGTGGGGATGGTTGGCCTTGGAAGCTAAAAGGAAAGAAAACAGAGAGCTTGCTAATTTTAATTTTAATTCGGTTGCTGAGTTTTATTACTTTTTGTTTCCTGCTAATTTATTCAATAATTGTCCTAAAGAATCATTCTGATTAGAGGAACTGGAGGGCAAATACATTCAGCATATTATGTGTTTTTCTCAATATTAAGTTTTCTCTCTGAAAACCTATATTCTGCTTTTTCCAAATAAAATGTTAATGCTGTTACTTTATCTTCTAGCTGCCAATCATCACAATTTGGTGATGACTGGCAATTTCCTAAAAAGAATGAAACTCCATGGAAAAATCTCCCAAAAAGAGAGAGTGAGAAAGAAAGCATTCATTTTTATCTGTGTTTGACCTCAGTTGCCATTATAGGTTTTTGTTCTCTGCTTTATTTTTGAGATATATATTTTACTTTAGTATCACAGTTAGGGCATCAGGCTAGAAAGCAGGAGACCTGGAATTCTCATCCTATTTTAGGCACAAAGCCCAAATTCTTTGATACCACCTTACTACTCACCAGGAAAGTGACAAATCTGTTAAGATAACCCCGAGATACCTGTTTGTCTGGCAACAGTGGGCTAAACAATGATGAAAATGAAGTAGTTGGTAGGGGCAAAAACTACTTACAAAAGCTGAACATTTCAGTGTGTTTAATAGCATATTTTATTAATCCTTATGATTTCAATTGCTTTTCAGCTGTCTACACGACTGCCAAATTCCCAGGCATCCAAAGAATCTTATGGTACATGTGGTCCAATCAGGAAAACGCAGGGCGTAAATTACATTTCATGAAATTTCCTGCATAGGTAAGCAATCTGTTATCTGAATAATCTTTTGAGTGTGCATTACCAGGAAATACAAAAAAAATAGCTCTCATATTCATGGGGTCAATTCTTTTTTTGTGACCTGTTTCCAGATTAAATTTTAGCTACTGATCTGGGTATTGCTTGTATAAGGTACTTACACAATTATTTGTCACATTATCATTTTCACATAAGAACGAATCAGGCTGAGGGATCAATTCTCTCATACAACTATTTCCCTTTCAAAAAATCCATTTTTGTTTTAATCAGGTGGGGATATAGCCTGAAATATATTTCATGTCATCATAAGAGATAAAGAAGCCCAATATGAGTAGGGGATGTAGTGGGGTAGGTGGGTTATATTCCTCCTTTGTAATGTAGTTTGACTTCTCAAGAATTATTTGACAAAAAGAAGGCTAAAAAAAGAATTAATGTTATGCACCAGAATTTTAATTAAATCTTGGCATAGTTAAAAGTGCCTTGTGTGGTGTCCTTTCTTATTGGAAAGATGTACTGTACTTTCAATTGCCCAGAGATCTCCCTTTTTGTGTCAATTCCTTCCCTCCATCAAGTACCAAAGTTTACCTTGTGATAATCTCTTATAATCGGATAACTAGATTAAATCCAAGAAAAACTGAATCATTTAATACCCCAGGAGTTATAAGGAAACTCTTTAATTAATTGCCCAAAATGCAAGACTATGTATAACAAACAAAATACGAGGTATTTTTAATTAGTTTTAATTTTAAACAAGTCTGATGATTGAAGTAAAAAAGAGCCTAAGGGGGCTAATTTTAATCTCGTCTTGATATTTTACAAAAGAAATGTTTTAGATGAGCAGATAGACCAGCTCAGAAAGGAGAATCAAGATCTGAGTTGCAGGGTTCAAAAACAAGATGGGGAGCAAGCAGAAGTTCTGAGAGAAAATAACAATACTAAAGAAGAACTTAAAAGGTGAGAAATTTTAGACAGAAATCCTGACTTTTTCTTTCACCTCAAATTAATTTATTAGAGCTGAGGCCAGATATAAACAAGATACAGAATAAAAGAGGTATTACCTTCGTGTGTGTGTGTGTGTGTGTGTAGGAGAAAAGCAATAAATGGGAGTATAAACATAATTAAGGGTGTAGTTATGCTTGATGCTTCAAGTAAAATTAAGATGGCTAATTTTTCTCTGTTCTTAATTTACAGAAGACAACAGAAATTTCAAGACTGTTATAAAAAGACAAGCTCCAACTGAAGAACAAGGAGCTTATGCAGAAAAATGCCCACCTAATTGGAGAAAAGGAAGCGCTCTGGAAAAATTTTCAAGAAAAACTAAGCAGGTGAAAACTCAAATAGCAGCTCTGAATTTCCCTTCCACAATGTCATATTAAATTCTGGTAGGTAAGAGAAAAAGGAAAAACAGTTTTAAGATGTGCAATGTCAGAAAAATAATTTGGGGTTCCAAATTGAGCTGGGGATGCAGAAAAATAAATAAAAATGAAATCCAGACAGCTGTGAGGAAAGGACAATAATTCATTCCCAATAGCAGAGAGGTTTGCCTATGGGAGCAGCTGCAGAGAAATGATTTTTTAAAGAATTTTATTTATTCATTTCCTACTAAAATATTGGACATAGTGCAACCTTCCTGGTGTTATCTCCACCATACCCACTAAAATAAACAAACATCATATATACTCTTCATACATTACTCATTATATACAATTATTCTGCCCAATGTGCTCATTTATATTTACATAAATTACATCACATTTCAGGTCTACAAATCCTGATTATTTCCTGTTCCATCTCCCACCTCTCAGTTCCAACCATTGGTAAAATCTATTCCATATATCATGATGTTCTGTCTCTCCTTTGTTTTTTAATTCTAATGTCAATTTATCCATTTCTGCGCAAGCCAATATTTTCTTTATTATCTCCCTTTCTAAAGGTATATTTTCACTTTTCCATTGTTGAACGTATACCATTCTCGCTGCTGTTATAATCTGTACTATTAAATATGTTGACCCTTTACTGTGGCCCTCTGTTAAGATTCCTAATAAAAATAATTTGGTTTAAATTCTTATCTTTGTCCAACCATTTTTTCTAACCACATCTGAATCCATCGCCAAAATTATTTTGCTTTTTTGCATGTTCACCACATGTCGTAATATGTGCCTAGTACTTGATTGCATTTCCAACATTTCGGGATATATTACTAAACATTTTAGCCAATCTTGCTGGAGGAAGATGCCACCTATAAAACATTTTATATAAATTCTCCTTGTATGATGTGGCCAGTGTTAATTTCCTATTTCTTTCCCACAGTTTTTGCCACTTTTCTAATTCAATATTATACCCAAAATTTTTAGGCCATACTACCATTGTCTCTTTGACTTGTTCTTCCTCCATTTTATAATCTAGTAAATATTTATAAATTACCTTTATCAATTTCTCATCCATCCCCAATAATAATTTATCTAGTGTCGTAATTCTCTATTAATACCTCACATTTTCATATCCTTCGTATAGCATGATTGAATTTGTAGATATGACCACCACTCCAATTCCACCCCTTGTTCTTTTAATTCTAGTCTAGTTTTCAGTTCCCCTTTTTTGTTTAGTATATCCTTGTATGAGATGATTTTTCCCAAGTTGATGAGTTTTGGGAGTACCAGTACTTCTAAGGTAGAGAGCCAGACCGGTATTTTCATATAATTTTATTGTTTGATTTTGTTCCATATCACCAGTAGAGCATGTATATGGTGTCTTTGGAAATATTGATGTGCCATGTGTCTTCCCTATCAAAGAAATGCATGCCACCCTAGTTGAATATCATGGCCCTCTAGTGTTAGTAATCTCTTATTCCTTAAAGTTATCCATTCTTTAACCCAAGTAATTATTGCAGTTTGATAGTACAATTCCCAATCGGGCAAACCAAACCTTCCTCTTTCTTTTGATTCTTGCAGTAATTTCAATTTGATTCTTGGTTTCTTTCCTTGCCATATAAATTTCAACATTATTTTATTCAAACTTCCAAAATATTTTTTCTCTAATTTTATAGGTATGTTTTGAAATAAAAAAAATATCTTTGGCAAAATATTCATTTTTATTGCTGCTATTCTGCTCATAAAGGAGAGTTGCAAATTCTTCCATCTCTCCAGGTCTACCTTTATTTGGTTTGTTAGTTTAGAATAATTTTCCTCCTTAATCGTTATATACCTTGCAGTTAAGTAGATTCCTAGATATTTCACTTTCTTCACTAACTGGATGCTTATTCCCCTAGTCAAATTGTTTTTCTGTATATTTGTCATATTCTTGGCTATCATTTAAGTTTTTTCCTTATTTACTTTTAATCCGGCTACTCCATATTCCTCCAATACCTCCATAAGCCTCAGGCCCAATTGCAGTGGTTCCTCTAGGACCGTGATGGATGGCAAACCTATGGCACGTGTGCCACAGGTGGCATGCATAGCCATATCAGAGAGCACGCGAGCTCATCTCCGACATGCATGCGTGCACTGGCCAGCTGATTTTTGGGCAGGGAAACGGGGGTGGGGAAAGCCCGTTTTTCTTTCTCACCTGGTTCCAGATCCTCTCTCTGAGTCTAGGGAGGGCGAAAACAGCCTTCCCCACCCCCTTCGGAGGCCCTCTGGAGGCCCCGTTTCCCCGTTTCCCAACTTCCGGTTGGACAGGAAGTGACGTTTTTTGCTGTCCCCAGCCTCCAGAGACTCCTAGAGATGCTCCTCTGAGGGGGTGGGGAAGGCTATTTTCACCCTCCCTAGACTCAGAGAGAGGATCTGGAGCCAGGTGAGAAAGAAAAACGGGCCTACAGGGCTATCACATGCCAGGAGGGGGGGGGTCATGTGCGCATGGGCGGGGCACATAGAATTGTGGGTATGGGCACATGAACTTTTTTAAAAAGATAGGAAATCTTTTTCAATACAGTTGGGAGGGTTCATTTTTCTGATACTTCTTATTTATGATAAATAAAAGAATACCTGCAGAACTTTCTATAAATCTTTATTTTCACATTTTTTTGCATACATCAGAGCCTTCCCCAGACTCCAGAACTCGGCCAAGTTCCTCCCCAACCTCCTTTAAATTTCCTTTAGTGTTGACTGATTGGGTCTCCTTGAAGTCCAAGGGACCCTCAAGAATCTTCTCTAGCACCACAGTTGAAAGCATCAGTTCTTCAGCACACAGCCTTCCTTACGGTCCAACTCTCACAGCCATACATTACTACGAGCTCAAGCAGGAGAACCTATACCATTTTAGATAAGTGACTGTCTAGACCAGGGCTGTCATGGTGGTGTCACGTGATGTATCGGGACTTCTCCCCCTTCGCTAAACTGGGTGTGGGCGTGGCCAGCATGTGACGCATCTGGCCCATGGGCCAGGAGTTTGACACCCCTGGTCTAGACTCTTCTTAAAAACCTCCAGTGATGGAATATCCATGACTTCTGGAGGCAAGCTGTTCCACTGGTTAATTGTCCTCCCTGTTAGGAAGTTTCTCCTTAATTCCAGGTTGCTTCTCTCCTTGATTAGTTTCCATCCATTGCTTCTTGTCCTGCCCTCTGGTGCTTTGGAAAATAATTTGACCCCCTCTTCTTTGTGGCAGCTCCTCAAATACTGGAATACCGCTATCATGTCCCCCCCTAATTCTTCTTTTCTTTAGACTAGCCAAACCTAAATCCTGCAACTGTTTTTCCTATGTTTTAGTCTTCAGGCCTTTAATCGTCTTAGTTGACTTTCTCTGAACTTTTTCCAAAGTCTCAGCATCTTTTTTGTAATGTGGTGACCAAAACTGGATGCACTATTCCAGGTGTGGCCTTATTAGGGTTTTATAAAGCGGTATCTTCACGTGATCTTGATTCTATGCCTCTGTTTATACAACCCCGGATTGTATTAGCTTTTTTGGCTGCTGTTGCACAATGCTGGCTCATATTCAAGTGATCATCCACTAGGACTCCAAGGTCCCTCTCGCAGTTACTGTTTTACTTGTAATGGTTTTAATGGCTGTCAAGTCTCTTCTTGAAAGCCTCCAGTGATGGAGCACCCACAACTTCTGGAGACAAGTCATTTCAATGATCCATTGTTCTGTCAGGAAAGTTCTCCTTAGTTCTAGGTTGGTTCTCTCCTTGATTAGTTTCCATTTGTTGCTTCTTGTTCTGCTTTCAGCTGTTCTCCAAGTGGATCTGTTGCCAACTTGATCCTTCAGATCTTCCAGGGCTGCATCATCCATCTTTGTAGAAAAGACACCATTGTAGCTGAGTCCATCCACTTTCTAGGGGTTGTCTTCTCCTTCTTCTATCCTTCCTAGCCTTGTAGACTTCCCAGAGAGTGAGGTCACACCTGCTACTACCTTGAAAGTCCCTCACTTCCTGCACCCAGGGCCGGATTTAGATGAAAAGAGGCCCTAGGCTATTCCACTTATGAGGCCCTTTCACCAGTGGTGGGATTCAATTTTTTTAACAACAGGTTTTGTGGGCGTGGCTTAGTTGGGGGTGTGGCTTCACAATCATGTGACTGGGTGGGCGTGGCTAGCTGGTCACGTGACTGTAGGCTTGGGTAGCTCGTCATGTGACCGGGTGGGCGTGGCTATGTGCATAGGGACTACTCAGGGAGCTGAAAAAAGTCATTTCTGACTGGGCCTCGCACTTTTGACCGGTCCTCACACTTATGACCATCCTCACATTTATGCCCGTGTAGCTTTCTTAACAACCATGTCACTCATTTCACAACTGCTTCTCTTCACCATGGTGACAAGATAGGGCAAAAAACGTAAAATGTGAGGACAGTCGTAAGTTCGAGGACTGGTCAAAAGTGCGAGGACCAGTCAGAAATAACTTTTTCAGCCCTCTGAGTAGTCCATATGCATAAAAGGATACAGCAATAGAGAGGGATGAAGGAAGGGAAGGGAAATTAGAGTAGGAGTGACGGTTAAGAGAGGGAGGAAGAGACGAGGAGAAGGAGAAAGGAAGAGGAAGTAGGGAGGAGAAGAAGAGGGAGAGGAAGAGAAAGTAAGAAGGAAAGAAAAGAGAGAGGTGGTAGGTTTGAGGAGAAAGATTGCTGTATAATAAAAAAGATGAAAGGGAAGAAAGCCAACCCCAAACAAATATAAAGATATTAAGATAAAGAATGAATTGTTAAACTTTAAAGAATAAAAGAGAACAAATATGAATAAATAACAATAATTAGAAACACACATACAAACATACAATGTATTTTCTTTGAACAGAGTATTTGGCCGGTTCACAAATTTAAACAGTGTTTAGTCATTTCAATTAAATATACAATTTCTATATTTCCTTTTTGCCATATTTATTCCTCATCTATTTTTGTAAAAAACCAATATTACCCTTCATCCTCATCTCTAATCTTAATCAAATTCAATTTTTCCCTTCTATTCTATATTATACCCCTTCCCATTGTCATCTATTTTTATATCCATCCTCACATTGGTTAATTATGTAATATTAGTTGTTTAATATAAATTCAACATTTTAATATAAATCAATTAGTTATATAACTACCTTTTTTGTATATTAATCAATATGAACATGAATATTCCAATTATTTCCATGCAATCCAATTTCTTACAAATCAATTAATTATATTTACCAATAATAATAAACCAAATAATTTCCCCCATATATTCCTCCAAACCACAACTTAACCATTTCTGCTTTCAGAAATATACAATTAAATGGTATCTCAATTATTACAATTCCCTAGTTAAATAGAGCTTTTTTTCTTTTGTGTTTTAAAATCCTGAACTCTCCTCTTTTTCCCTATTGTTTGCACCTACCTTTTTTGGTGAGGAAAAAGAAAAGAATTCTGCCTGCCTAATTTTCCAACCTTGCAGCAACAGCAAAGCAGTTTCAGTTTCGTTTCTCAGCATAAATGGGAAAAAAATCAACACTCTTTGCACGGAAGCAGAAGAGCCCTGAGCAAAACAGCTGAGACAAATCAGCTGAGAGCCGGGAGGCCAATTAGCCTATGCTGAAGCTCCGTGGGCCAATAAAATTACAAAAAAAACATCGAACCCTTTGTTAAATTGCTGGCTCCCCCGCCCCTCACCCACCAGTATTTATTGGCAATAAATAGTGGTGCGGAGGGGCGGGGCAAGCCAGCAATTTAACAAAGGGTTCGGCTGCACCACTGGCTCTAGGGCGGCCCTTTGAAGCCCCGCGGCAAGAATTTGAAGGTTTTTTTCCTCTAGCCATCGGAGGCAGCAATAGATTGGGAGTGGGCGGGGTAAGCGAACGGCCGGCAATCCAACAGAATAGAGAGTGAGGGTGAGTGAAGGCGTGGAAGCTGCTTTCTCCATCCTGCTCTCTTGCGTCCGGAGCCGGTGGGGAAGCACGTGGCAGCCCACGTGGATCCCAGGCAGCGGAACTCAGGCTAGGGAAGGGGTGGGCAATTGTGGCTCTTTTACAACCTGTGGACTTCAACTCCCAGAATTCCTGAGACAGCCAAGCTGTCTCAGGAATTCTGGAAGTTGAAGTCCACAGGTTGTAAAAGAGCCACAATTGCCTACCCCTGGCTACGGTAGGCTGGCGCCGCACGGGTGGAAGGCGAGGGGCGGGCGAGCCAGCAATTTAACAAAGGGTTCGGCCGAACCCCCTAGAACCCCCAGAATCCCACCACTGTGTAGGCCCCTCTTGATCTTGAGGCCCTAGGCTGAAGCCTAGTTAGCCTATAGGAAAATCCGGCCCTGCCTGCACCCCATCTCTTACCTCAAAGGGGTGCTGTAAAAGGTAGCCCAGATCTCGAATGCTGAAACTTTTTATCAGAGGGTGCTGTTTTTTCATGCATTCCAGGAGTATCTCTAAAATGTTTTGCGTTGGGAAGAAGCGTCCAACCTCTGGGTGATAAAGAAGCTGAGGAACAAGAGTCAAGATACAGATAATTAGCAAAGCAAAGAACTTTCTTGAGAGCCTCTACTAAGAGATGCCACTTTCAGCCATTAAGGGGAGAGAAAAAGAAAATACAGTCCTCGTTTAGTGACTGCTGAAAGTCACAACGGCACTGACAAAAGGGACACGCCCATTTTTCAGACTTATGACCATTGTAGCAGCCTCACGCTCATGGGATCAAAATGTGGGAACTTGCCGGTTCATATTTATGACGGTCACAGTATTTCCAGGTTACGTGATCTCTTTTGTGACCGTCTGATAAACCAAGTCAATGGGGAAACCAGATTCACTTAACAACTGCATTACTAACTTAACAGCTGCAGCGTTTTACTTAACAACTGTGGCAAGGAAGGTCATACAATGGGGCAAAACTTGCTTAAGAACTGTCTTGCTTAGCAACAGAAATTTGGGGCTCAGTTGTGGTCGTAAATCGAGGACAATCTGTACAAGGAAATCACTAAAAGATCTGGTTCGTCCTAAGAATATGACCACGGCATTGGCTTAAGGACTGTCGCATTCACTTAGTGACCACTGGAGGTTCTGTGATGGTCATATGTCGAAGACTACAGTATGACAAATGTTAGTGTAAATGATAATTCTAAGAATAAGAAAATGCCTATAATACAATACTAATATAGGAATTTGGAGTCATTGAGCCTTCCTGCCTTCCCTCCTTCCTTAGGAAGGATAGGATAGGATAGGATAGGATTAAAACCAAAGAAATTGGTATTGAGTATTTGGATTATAAAATTGAGTAGTAAGATTTGAAAAAATAAGATGAAGAAAAAAATACAACATCTATCATCAACATCAACAATCCCCTGTCCTCCATCTTCTTTCCACGCTTTAGCTGTCCCTCACACTGCCTGTAGGGGGCAGTCTACAGTCCGGTCTTTCAGTCCCAGCTGACCTCCACAGGCAGCGAGCAGGACAACTAAAACGGGCAAAGCCCCCCCCCCCCGCGTCCTCCATTGGGTGGCCTCCTTTTTCTGAGGGGATTCCTCCCTCCCTCCATTTTAAGGGGAAGAAAAACTGCAGGGAATATTTTCTCTGCTCTCCAGCCGGGACTCACGGAGGGATCCCCAAAGGGGATGAGGGAGGTTGGGGGGCAGAGGGGGCTGGGGAGGAAGACTAGGGCAGAGGCTAATGAAAAAATTATATGAATGCTGTTCATCTTTTCTGCATTTTCCACTTAAAATGATAAACTGGGATGATCCTTCTGCCTGAGGGCGCCCCAAGATCATCCAACCCTCATTAAATTAAAGCAGCATAAATGAAGAAGGGAAAGAAAAATGACTGTGTGATGCTTTAGGACAAACACACCCCAAATATACACGTAGGAGGTGAATATAGTCAGGATAGTTAAAGGCCTCAACCTTTTTTTCCTGCTGTTTGGGGAGAAAATGGAAGGACTTTCTATCCATCCCATCCCTTCTTATCCCAGACTGAACCTCTTTAATCCATTCTTTATTTGAAGAAAAATACTGGAATAAGGCCTGATTACCACACTGAAAATCAATCAGGCCTTAGATGTTTCCCATTAAGTATTTTTTGAAACATTTTCCATTCCAGAGATGGATCCAAATGAGCTGCTGTGGCCATTCAGTGATGAGAACCCAAAAAACGTCCTTGGAAAATGACTTTGTTCGTCCTTGGGGTCTATTTATTGGTTGGCCTCTGAGTTTTTCTCCACCAGTGCAGGTATGTTGCTCCTGTTCAAGGGAGTGGCGTCACCACAACCTGGGGAGCCCTGGGGCACTGAAAGCCCCCCAAAATGTTGGTGGGACTAACAGGAGAAAGGATAGAAATCCCTCAGGGCTGGAAGGGACCTTGGAGGTCCTCTAGTCCAACCTGCTGCCCAAGGAGTCTGTTTTATCATCCTGGATTAATGGTTGCCCAATTTTTCCTTGAAAACCTCCAATTAATGGAGCCCCCAGTAAGAATAAGCCTTATTATGACTGTTAAGAAAATAATGCACCAGTCAAATTTAATCCTCTTTTCCTTTTTCAATCCCCAGAGAAAGGGCCTTGAGGATGTCACCGGAGCAGCCGTCTCTCTCTGGCTACAACAGCCGGTCAGATGATGTCAAGGCGGCCCCCATCCCTGCGGCAACCTCTCAATCCCAACATCACCATCACGGATGACAGAAGAAGGATGTCGGATGTTCTTCCTTGGTCTATAATGTGAGGGTTGGTAAGTGTTTGAACTAATGTGGTTCTCAGTTTTTCTTTATTTTCCATTTTAAAGATATTATATTATTATACACTTTATTCATTAAACATGAAACTCAGTCAATTGAACTTTCAAAAATGCATCACAATTACCATGGACTGGTGCTAATGGTTGGTACGGGTTGCTGCCAGCGTGCTAGGTATCAACCAAGTACCTTCTTAAGATGGTACGATGTTCTGAGTAGTGCAGCTTTTTGCAGTTCCGCTGGTGTTATTGCAGGAAGCTGCAATTTGTTGATGTAGCTTATAAAATTCTTGGACATGGTACCAAGTGCCCTGATGACAATGGGTATCACTGTTACATGTTTCATCCATAAATGCCTAGTTTCAATGGCCAGTCCATCTCACTGCCTGCGGAGGCCAGGTGTGACTTAAAGGCCAGACCACAGACTGCCCCCTACAGGCAGTGAGAGGGACAGCTAAAGCTGGCACAGGCCCCGCAGTGGCCTCCATTTCTTAGAACTCGGGGTTCCTCAGGGAAGCCTTTTGGCTGCCTAGTGAAGCCTTTTCCGGAGTCCGACTAGCTTCAGCTAAGCCCCAGCAGGACGGAGGGGTGGGATGTGTGTGTGGAGGCTTCTCTGGGCCCAGGTGTTTCTCTCCTTTGCTCCTAGATGGGGTTGCTGCCTCAGAGCTCCATGCCCTCCCGTGTGTGCTCGTGTGGAGAACCCTTTGCTGCCTTTGGGGGAGAGAGAGAGAGGAGAGACCGTTTCCTCTGCTGTGGAACCTCTTCGCCTCCCGAAAATAGGAGCCCTCAGGGGATTTAGGCCAGGCACAAAGGGGGTCATCGGGAGGGGGGAGTTCAGGCCCTTTTCTTGGGGTACATAAAAAGACTTATTATCCACCAAGATGCTCTTTCACAGCTCAAGCTGCTCAACAAGGTGGGGGAAATATTGGTTTCTTTTTTTCTACTTTGGAAAGCTGTAGGGCCCATTTCAAGTGGGCTAAGCCTAGTTCCCCGAAATGGTTGACCTTCAAAGGGAAAAGAACATTGGGAGTAGAACACATTATGTATTCTTACACTGCTGGAAAGGTTTCAATACTATTGCCCAAGGTGTCTTATTGATTGATTGATTGATTGATTGATTGATTGATTGATTGATTGAATTTATATTGCTGCCTATTCACCCATGGCGACTCAAGGCATCTTACAGAATATAAAACCAATTATATACTATAATTTGGAGCATTTTTAAAAGATGATTTAGCTACGTCCAACTTGGGATGCTATGTGATCGTTATTTTAGGATCTGATTCCTGGTGTTGGACTGTGAAGGGAGCAGGATGATGGACATGGTCTTGGATTTGGCAGGAAGGATGACAAAGAACTGTGGTCCCCACAATACAAAAGTAGATGCTGAGGCCCTGAAAAGTGAGCAGGGAAGAGCAACAAAGAGGATAATGGATCTGGAGGCTAAATCATGTCATGAGCCACTAACTGGGTCTGGGTATGTTTAGCTTAATGGAGAGAAAGCTCAGGGGAGACACGATAGTATCTTGCAATATTGGAAAGGCTGTCAAGGGAAAAGGGTGTTGATTTATCCTCCATAGCATCTGAAACAATGGTTGGAAGCTCCTCAGAGGGAGATCTAATAGAAGGAGGAGTTTCCTGACAGGGAGAACAATTTTTTTTTTAATTTGATTTATATGCTGCTTTTCTCCGGAGACTCAGGGTGGCTTACAATACGTTAAGCAATAGCCTTCATACTTTTGTATATTTATACAAAGTCAGCTTACTGCCCCCACAATCCGGGTCCTCAATTTACCTACCTTAGAAAGGATGGAAGGCTGAGTCGACCTTGAGCCTGGTGAGAATTGAATTCGCAGTAATTGCAGGCAGCTGGATGTTAAATGCTGCCTTAGGAGGCATTAGCCTCCTACGCCACTCAGGCTCCTCATTAACTAATGGAGTAGCTGGTTGAGTTGTGAGCGCTCCCGTTACTTGCCTCAGCTCCTGTGCCCACCTGGCAGTTCAAAAGCATGCAAATGTGAGTAGATGAATAAGCACCACTTTGGTGGGAAGGTAACAGCATTCCATGGGCCCTGGGGGTATAGCCATGCTGGCCACTTGACCACGGAAATTGTTTTCAGACAATGCTGGCTCCCTCGGCCAAAAAGGGGGATGGGCACCATCCTCTAGAGTCAGCCATGACTGGACAGAGTAAATCTTCACTTTTACTTCATTATCCTAAACATGGAGAGCCCTGTTTGAAGGGGCAAAGAAATCAGCTGGAAATTCCAGGCACCCTGGTGGTGGTGGGTTTTTTTTCCTTTTTTTCTTCCATTTCCTTATTGACATAGCTGTGACTTTCCATCCTGTGCTGTTTCATGAGGGATGCTATCTCTTGTCTTTTCACAGCCCAAAGGCGCCGAAGCCAAACTCGGAAACAAAGAGAAGAAATTGCTGGGTCAGGTCCTGTCCACATTACGGCAGGAACTGAGCCTGTCCCCATCGAAGAAGAGGAAGAGGTTGTCTCAGTCGGGGTCTCCCTTTCCTCCACTTTTCTTCTGATGTGCGACTAATGCGGACCTTTGCTTTTTTTCTCCCAAGTACTGTTGGCCTTTTGAGTTTTCCTAGTTTTCCTTTCTGTCTTTCCTGTCTTTCTGCTTGGCAGGAACAGAAGAAGAAGGAAGAGGCAAAGAGTGGCAAGTGGCTTCGTCCAGAAAGTCCTGGGCCCAGTTGAGATATTCAATGTTTCCTGTCCCCATGGCCCTCATGCTTATGAGCAGCCATCTCCTCACCCTTCCCAGATGCATGGACATCCACGGGAGAACCACCACCAACCAAATAGAAGGCATTGCATCCAGCAGTGAGAGATTATTAGCCTGTCCCAGCTTGGCCATTTAGGAAAGACAGATTCTCATCTCCATTTACAGTCGAGTTGCATTTAGTAAAAGGTAGGCTTTTACTAAAGCCAAGTGGTTACAGCGTAAGCAAAGCTAGATCTGAGGATTCCTGCCTAAACCCGGTAATTTTCCCTTTCTTCACCCTCATCTTCTTGTTAGTGTCCAATGTGGGTCAAATTAGTTGTTTTGGTTACAATTCCCCAAGTTTGGTGCCTCTTTGGTGGGCATTCACATTCCTTTCCCATGCCTGTGTCCTTGGATCGTTCAACCGTTGTCTCTGGTTGGCACTTCTGGTTCCTGTCATCCCCCTGTCCCTGTATTACCCCCATCTCCCCTCCCCATACTTTATGGCAGGCTGCCATCAAAGTGAAGCAGGGCTGAAGCGGTGTGATGGCAGCGCGAGATCTTCTTGAAGACCAGAGAAGCTCTTCCCTTCTTCCTGATGTCTGAACTAGCTTCCTGAGATGTGGGAAGGTGGCAATGCATGACCATCCTTGGTCCCCTTATTGGAACCACCTGGGCTACCTGGTTCAAGGGTCTCCCAGTTTATCTCTGGATGGGCTGTTCCTGCTATGGATACTTTGATGATTGTGTTATTGTTCCTCCTCCTTTTTCTTATTCTTTTAAAAACAGATAATAAAAATCAAATGAAGAGTAAACAAAGGCAGAAGTACAGATGACAAAATCATTGTGGATAAAGTCCTTGGGCTTGAAAGGGTGCTACCTTCTTCCCCTTTCTTGTCATGCAGGACGAAGCAAATGGCAGAGGGACCGTAAATTTAACTACAGTGGCAATGCCAACCCAAATTGCAGCAGAAACTGTTATCACCCATATGAGTCATGCTGGCACAAGGACCACTATGTGGATTGTCAGGTGCCCAGAGACCAGTATCGGAGCTCAGGAAACTCAGGAAACTTCCAGCCCAGCAGCCTCTCTCGTAAACGCCCCTATGATCAGTACAACAGTGAGCGCAATTACCGGGATTACAGGTGAGGTGCTAAGCAGGCCGTTCAGGCAGGTCATGGGGATTCTGCAGGATTCAGCATTCCATAATAAAGGAACCTTGAAAGCCTGCTCTCCCTGCCCTCTTACTCCAACAAGGTCCAGAGGGTGTTACTTTGAGTCTCTTTGAATGTTACGAATGGTTGAGGGTATGAGTTAGGTATGTCTGGCCTATGGAAGAGAAGGAAATTATCCTTCTCCTTTTTTGTAGATCCAACCTACAAATGAGGAGAAGTTTCCTGACAGCAAAAGCAATTAAGCAGCCAAATAGCTTGTCTGCTGAGGTTGTGGGTGCTCCATCGGTAGAGGCTTTCAAAGATAGGCTGGACAACCATTTTACTGGGATGGTATGAGGCTTCTGCCTTGACCAGCGGGTTGGACTAGAAGACCTCCAAGGTCCCTTCCAACCCTATGATTCTGTGCTTTCTCACAGCCTCTCTTTCTCCGGGACAGAGTTGCTGTTCATTTTTTCATAACAATCTTGCATTTGTTGATCAGAGGACTCGAGTGCATCGCTGCACCCCTCAACCGTGTTCTAGATTTGTATTGCAAGCTTTGCCCCTTTTTGCAAGTGTATGTGATATCATGACCCACAATACAAAGTGTGTTGGCTTGGGCTCTGCTGTTGTCCATCTTCTTTCCTTCCTTTAGTGTCCAAAACCTGCTGAACTGGGCTGACATTCCTGTTCTCTTCCATGCCTTTGTCACCAGAGGGAGTTAAGCATCCCAAGATATGGTCATTTTTGACTCTTCTGTTGAGCTGAATGTTTTGAGTTCTTCTTTCCCCTCCAGGTACTGTTATGAAGCCAAGAGACAAAGATTAGATGCATTCCGGCCCCAGAATGACCAACAAGATTTTCAGAGGATGTCTGACTATAGACCTCTCTTGGGTTATCATGGGCAAGGGCCATCTGACCTTTACTGGCATTTCCACCCAGACAAATCGGCTGATTACAAGCAACTCCTTCCCACTCCTCCCTCCCAGGTCCCTGACCCTCACTCTCCAGTTTCTCAGAAATCCCCACTTGATGCCAAGTCTCCCATCCAGCATCGTTCACCTCTGGATAGGCCCTTAGAGCAGAAGAACAATCCAGAGTATAACTGAAGTGGCTGGAAAACCTAGAGGCCCAGAAGCAGAGGCAAACGGAAAAAGCCAGTCCGGCTCGAGGAAACGCCAGTTTCAGGGCCATCAATGCTGGAACTAGAAAGCCTGACTAGAGTGCTGTAGAGCTTTGGGCTGTAAGAATTGAAAGTGAGTCAGAAGAACTGGATCCACCAAGGGGCCTAAATTTTAGCCCCAAATTTGCCTCCCATCAGTATACTGGCTGAACGTTGAGAGTGGCCTTCCCTGCACCAAGGGGCCTGTGGAGAACAAGGTCAAGTCTACCCCCTTCATTTTGGAATGAAGAGGTTGCATTTGTGTCCGTTTGATGCATTTATGAAGGTTTATTGGAAGATTGAAGGAGGAGATTCTGGCTGCTGTTTGGTTTCTACCAGTCATTCAGTTGCGATAACCCTACTTGATGCTGTTGCATTTCCCTACAAGATCCGGGGTAGAAGAACTTTGGTGCATAAAGTTATGGACTTAAAGAGAAAATGAAATTCCTGTGACTAAATATAGTAATATTAATTTATATTTGTGACAAAGGAATCTGCCACTCTAAGTGATTTCCAATGTAAATATGTTGCTTATATATTCAATATTTTTTCTATGGTTCCTGTACTTTGGGATGTTGTACATTAAAAGTTGAGTTTTTCAGAAATTGGAATTTCCATCTTTTTTTCTTCTTCAATAGTTGTCCCCAAGGTTATTTAACTATGGTTTTCTTGTCTGAAATTGTGTTGAAAATATTGAAGAATTTATTAATTCATCTTAAAACCGCGATTCTAGATAGTAAAGACAAAATCTTTCTCAGTCATTCTTCACCTCCTTTTCTTCATATTGCTTGACATTTTCTGGATGTATTTTTTCTTTTTGCTTCTGACATCAAATCGATCTCTTCTCTGAAAAGTTTCCAGTACTTTGGAAAAAATCTCAATGCAGGAATTTGAAATTAGGCCAAAAGTTATATATGAGCTAGGTATCTTCCTCATCACAAATCTATTCTAACTGAAAGCTGATGACACATTTTTAAAAATTGTTATTGATCTTCGGTTTTCTGAGTTAGCAATGGCAGCAAAGTGAGCTGGCTTTTACAGTAAACTAGCCAATTCAACAAACACAACAAATGTGATCCAGTTCATGCCATTTTTTTCATTCTAAAGATTGCATGAACAGAAATTCAGGACTGTTATTAGGAAGAAAAATTTATTTGCATTTTTTAAAAAATCAACAAATAATTTACCGGATTTACATCACAACAGCCCATCCAATTTCCACACACATGAAATAAGCTGGAAAGGGAGGCAGTGTGTTTCTTATATGCTTTCCTCGTCATTCAGATTTTCATCCCCCAGGAGAAACCATTCTCTCTCTCTGCCTCAACCCTGAAAAGCCTCTGAGAACCAGGCAAGAGTACACTCCATTTTTGCATGACTTTTGGAGGTTCTGTACAGGATCATGGTCAGAATACTAGACAAGCAATCCAAAGTCAAGGCCTTTTCCAAGCCCCCTGAAAACTCTTTGTCTTCCAATCATCTCCCTGATGGTTCTTTAGCAAGACCAGTGAATGCAGCCAAGGACCAAAAGCCTCCAGGAGAAAGGATGCAAGAGAGAGGGGGGCCGTATGCCTCTTTCTTGGATCATCAAGAGGGAAAAAGGCACCAGAGGATGGAAATAGGAGCACGTGTTCCCATCTTCATCACCCAAGTCGGACTCTTTCACTAAGAATTGTGTAAACCAGGAATTGCCTGGGAGCTTCCCAAATATTTACAAGGAGGTTTTACTGACATATGCTGTCATCTGGACATCTTCTCTTCAACGAGGTTTTGGAGGTACTTTTTCGGGATTTAGGAAAATGGATAGTAGGACTTTTCCTCAAGAATTTCAGGGCTGCATAGCAGACTTTTGTGACCCTCATCCTTTCAAAAACAACTTCTGGGGAGATTTATGAGAAGAAGAGCTGGGTTGGGGGGCATTTGGCTGCCATGCGCCCTTGCCTCCTTATTGTAATGGAGCCCCGATGCATCCTAGCTCTGATGGCATGATCCATTTTCTGCAGGTCTTCCATTGTGGTCTTAAGTTGATGCACTTTCTCCTGGAGACAGCAATGTTGCTCTTTCATCCATCGATTGTCTTTCTGGAATTTCTGGGTCTGAAAGTCAAAGGAGTCTCCCAGTTCATCAACCTGGAGGTTGGGACCATCAGTGGTCGCTAAGAGATTGCCCAAGGATATTGACTGTATGACCATTTCTTCCTTCTTGCTGACCTGTTTGAAAAATGGAGAGACACAGTCACATCCTTTCTCAGTTCAGGGCCAATTTTGCTAACCGGCCTTCTCCATTCTGGCTTCATCCTAAAGTTTTGGAGTCCATCATTTTCTCTAGCATGAGATGCAGGAGGAGTAAAGAACCAACTATCTGCAGAGGGGTCTCCTGCGAAAGGATCCTTTAGATATAATCTATCCAGATCTGTTCTCAACTACAAAGCACCAGGTTCAAAATATGATATTTGAGGGTACATCAAGTGAAAACCAGCTCTCTGCAGATATTCCTAATGCTGGGAAAGGTGGAAAGGAAGAGAAGGAGAGGACAATTTGGGGTAAGGTTGGTGAATGGGTGAACTTTGGGGAGACCTGAAACGCCCTGAGTCCTTCGGGAGTAGGGCGGTATAGAAATTTGATTAATAAATAAATAAATAATAATAAAATCCAGACTGGGGACAGATCATCCATCTACTTCTGTGGCCATTCAGAGTCCACACAGTTTCAATGCTGTCAGTCAATGCAGATCAAACTCCCTGGAGAAGTCTGCCATGCTGGCATGGATGAAGGAAAGAGAAGAGAACAAGCAGCTATAGTGGGGATGGGGCCAGGTTGGGAGACCTGAAAGGACCAAGTTGGGGACAAGTCTCCACTGAGAAAATTGATCAATGGGCTGCTAGGTGTCAACATTCAACTTGACATAGAATCAGTCAGTCAAATAGGCAGGCCGAAAGTTGACTTACAAGGTCCCTTTCAGCTGTAGGCTTCTACTGTCTACTTCCTTTTCATTATCACCTTAACCTAAGAATAGGGAACAGATTAGAGTTAATACAATCAAATAACAATAGCTTAAAGCAGAGGTCAAACTCGATTTCATTGAGACAACCGGGGTGTGTTTGACCTTGGGGACTGGATGGGTGTGGTCAGGTTGGGCGTGGCCAGCTCAACATTACTCATGTCAGGCTCCATTTTCGGCAGTGACGGCCTCCTGCAGCCAGGGGTGAAATTCAAAAATTTTCCCTACCGGTTCTGTGAGCGTAGCTTGGTGGGCGTGGCAGGGGAAGGATACTGCAAAATCTCCATTCCCACCCCATTCTGGGGCCAGCCAGAGGTGGTATTTGCCGTTTCTCTGAATTTCCGCTACCAGTTCTCCAGAGCCTGTCAGAACCTGCTGAATTTCACCCCTGCTATGCCAGCAAAAACAGAGTTCGGAAGGGTGGTGTGTGGCCCTCCCATACTTCGCTGGCAGAGGCATCGCTGTTTCCAGGGTGGCCCTGTGAGCCAGATCTAAGCACCCTGAAGGCCGGATCTGGCCTGCGGGTCTTGAATTTGACACCCCTGGCCTAAAGCAGTCATTAAATTACAGTATAACAACTCTGTAAAAAACACAAACTTGGCCCCTTTAAGACATGGATGGCCTTCAACTCCTAGAATTCTGCATGCTGGCTGGCTGGAGAATTCTGGGAGTTGAAGTCCCCCCCCACCTTAAAGGGGCCTAGTTTGATAAACACCAACATGATCCCTTAATACTGATCTCTCTTCAAACTATCCTGACTTCCCATTTAATTCTGAGTCCAACTCAAGGCAGATCATCGCTCAGAACCCTCCAAAGGAGTCAGTATTGTCTCTCCATCTATTTGGCCATCTTTGCACTGCTTTGGTGCTTCTGATAGTTGGGAGGCAGCCGCTCCCAACGCCAACTTTGTGCTCAGCGCACCAATGTCACCTGCCGTTGCCGTTGTGACCTGATCGGATTAAAGACTACATGCATACAAGAACTGGTATCCGAGTCGTCGTTTCCTTTTGGGTAAAACAGCGAACGGGGTGTGTGACAAGGACCTTAATTACTATACTAAGCTGGCCCTTTCTGTTTATATATGTGATAAATTCAACAATGTGTGTGTGTGTGTTCTGTATAATATACATGTGTTTATATATGTGTGCTGTATAATAAACACATACATGTGATTAGGTACAAGATGATTCTGGTTTTTGTAAAACAAGATATACAACAAAGTGACAAAGGGCCCACATAAGAGAGAGCTCATGGTAGATGTATTTCTTTGCCAATATGATTGACAGTTCATTTCTTTTGAAAATGGGTATTGGTGAACACAGTCAGAATTGTAGCAGTGGCTGGATTCAAAATTCCACCATTGCTCATCTAGATGGAACATTGATTTTTTTTAAATTTGATTTATATGCCGCCCTTTTCAGAGACTCAGGGTGGCTTACAGTGCATTAGGTAATAAGCAATATGCACTTAACGATTGGTTTTTGCATAGTTGTTAGAGCCTTTAGAGAGGATAAACATAGTCAGTTGTGAAATTAATTAATAGGGGATTGAGGAATGAAAATATTGGATCCTTTGACAAATAAGTCAGAAGTTCATGAAAGAAAATAACCAACCATGACTAACAAAAGAGGGTAGTATTTGTAACTTTTTTTAAAATTTAAAAAGCGTATTCTGAACACTATCCTTTGTTACACAATTTAAAGAAATCAGTACATGACATTTTAAAGTTGATGCTGTCAATATCCAGCCAATTTTCACAGTTGGACTCTGTAGCTGATCCAACACTGCCTTTAAAATATTATTTCCACATGGATATTATTTGCTATTGTTTATGTAAGTAACTCAACTATGATTTTGTGTTTTTGGCTTTTTACTTCACCTGTAAGCTTTGCGTTCAGCACAGATTTACAAGAATCCAGAAGCTGTGGCATAACAATTAAGTCAATTACAAGAATTTGGGCAAAGCCACCAAGCATGGTAAAAAGTTCCCTGCGCTTTTTTACATTTCCAGCAGGCCGGGTTCACATTTGGATACATTTTTGCTAACCTTGCGGGTGGCAGATACCATCGGTACCACATTTTATAATGATTTTCTTTGTATGATACCGATTTTGTCATTCTATAGTTATCTTCCCATGCTCTTTCCCAATCTTCTAATTGTATATTATGCCCTATGTTCCTCGCCCAGGCTATCATCTGCCCTTTGACCAACTCTTCTGCCAAATCGAATTCGAGTAAATATTTGTAGATTTTTGAAATTAATTTCTCTTCTTTTGATTCTAATAGTTTGTCTAATCGATTTTGTTTTAAATCTATTCCTTCTTCCTCTTGATCTTTTCTGTATCTTACTTTTATTTGCGAGTAGGGCCACCAGTCTATTCCTATTCCTTGTTCTTTGAGCTCTTCCCTAGTTTTCAATTTCCCCTGAACATCTACTATTTCTCTGTATCTTAGAATCTTTTGTTTTGATAATATGTTGGGGTGAGTTATTGCTTCTATAGTCGATAGCCAGCCGGGAATTTTCATATAGTGTTTTTGTTTAATTTGTAGCCATGTGTTAATTAAAGATCTCCTAATTGTATGGTTATTAAAATGTTTATATATTTTATTTCCTGAACTCCATATAAAGGCGTGCCATCCCTTCATTAAATCATGCCCTTCTAAATTTAGCAATCTTTGATTATCTAAGGTTATCCAATCTTTAATCCATAATAAACTGGCGGCCTTGTAATATTTATCCCATGCCGGGAGTCCAAATCCACCTCTACTTTTATCATCTTGTAGTATATTCAATTTTATTCTTGATTTCTTCCCTCCCCACACGAATTTTTTAGTTATTTTATCCAAATTATCAAAGAATTTCTTATCTAATTTTATTGGAATTGTTTGGAATAAATAAAGGAGTCTTGGCAGTATGTTTGATTTTATTGCAGCTATTTTCCCCAGTAAAGACAATTTTAGTTTCCCCCATTTTTCTAAATCTTCCTTTATTTTCTGGACTAGAGTATCATAATTGTCTTCTTTTATTGTTGTCGTTTTGGCCGTCAAATTTATCCCTAGGTATTTAACTTTTTTAACTGTCTGCAGACCAGATTCTTTTACTAATTTCTCTACCTGTTTTGTTATCATGTTTTTTGTTATCATTTTTGTCTTTTCTTTATTAATTTTTAAACCTGCTACCTTTCCAAATTTTTCAATCTCTTTTATTAATTTTGGGGTTGTTTCTAATGGGTTTTCTACGAAAAAAACAAGGTCGTCTGCAAATGCTTGGACCTTGTAATCCTCTCTCTTGATCTTTAGTCCTTGAATTTCTTTATTTGCTCTAATTCTGATTAATAAATTTTCCAATGTTAAAATAAATAGTAAAGGGGAAAGTGGACATCCCTGCCTTACTCCCTTATTTATTCCAAAAAATTTTGTTGGGTCACCATTCACCAAGACACATGCTTTCTGATTCTGATATATCGATGTTATCATTTTAGTGAATCTTTCTCCAAAATTCATACTTTTGATTTGTTGCTTCATAAATTGCCAGTTGACTTGGTCAAACGCTTTTTGTGCATCCAGAAAGATCAGTGCTACCTGTCTCTCTGGGTGCACCTCATAATATTCTAAAACATCCAATGCTATTCTTAAATTGTTTTTTATCTGCCTTGTAGGCAGAAAACCATTTTGGTCCTGGTGTATTTTATTTTGTAATATTATTTTCATCCTATTGGCAATTATACTCATGAAAACTTTATAATCGGTATTCAACAAAGAAATCGGCCTATAATTTTTTATTAATGTGGTATCTGTCCCCTCTTTAGGTATTAAGGAAATATATGCTTCTTTCCATGTGTTGGGTAGCTTTGCCTCCATTAGGGCCTCATTATATATTTCTAACAGTATTCCATTTAATGGATCTCCAAATGTCTTATAGAATTCTATTGGTAAACCGTCTGTCCCCGGGGTTTTGTTATTTTTTTGCCTCTTCAGTGCCTCTTTTAACTCCCCCATCGTAATCTCCTTATCTAATAATTCTCTTTCTTCCTCTGTTAGTATTTGCAATCCCTCCCCTTTTAAATAATATTCAATTTCCTCCTCTGTTACTATATCCTTTTCGTACAGTTTTTGATAATATTGGACTATTATGTCCTTTTTTCCCTCTAGAGCCCATTGAATCCTTCCCTCATCATCTCGTAATTTCTGAATTGTTCTTTTTTCTCTTTCCTTCCTCAGCCTATACGCCAGCCATCTCCCTGGTTTGTTTGCGTTTTCAAAATAATTTTGTCTTGTATATTTCAATGCTGTTGCATATTTCCCCTGCTCTAATATGTTTAGGTTATGTTTTGCTGTTAACCAATTTAACCTTATTTTTTCATCCCCTGGGTTTCTTTGCAATTTACATTCCCAATTTTGAATTTCTTCTAATAATTTATTATATTCTTTCTCTCTCTCTTTTCTCCGTTTTACATTATTTATTTTATTTATTTATTTATTTATTTAATTTGTATACCGCCCTACTCCCGAAGGACTCAGGGCGGTGAACAGCCAAGCAATAAGATACATAAATACAAAAATTTAAAAAACCAGTTAAAATCGAATTAAATCATTTTTTGGCCCAGACAAATTAAAACACCCCAATAATTTAAGAACAGATTTAAAATTTATGTATTAAAAGGGGGAGGAGATTAGGCCAAGCCTGCTTGATGGAATAAAAGAGTCTTCACAGTGCGGCGGAAGGTGCGCAGATCCGGGATCCTCCGTATCTCTGGGGGGAGCTCATTCCAGATGGTAGGTGCCCCCACAGAGAAGGCTCTCCCCCTAGGGGTCGCCAGCCAACATTGTTTGGCTGACGGCACCCGGAGGAGTCCCTCTCTATGAGAGCGTACTGGCCGGTGGGAGGCTATTGGTGGTAGTAGGCGGTCCCATAAATAACCAGGTCCTAAGCCATGGAGCGCTTTAAAGGTGGTAACCAAAACCTTGAAGCGCACCCGGAAGACCACCGGGAGCCAGTGCAGCT